ACATACTATGATCTTTTGCACCATGAATGAAATTTCTCAAACAGATGCACAAAGTACAAAGGAAGGAAAGAAGGTGGAAAGAGAGAAAAAGGCGTTCGATTTGAACGCGTCTAATCAAAGTTAAGGCAGAAATAGTAGGGAAACTATTCGATCCGAGTCTCACTTAAGATAGAGCGAAGTGCACTTTACCGCGAGAATTTGACACTTTCCATCGCGAATACTTTTCCAAGATCTCAAATTATACCCGATAAGAGGCACTCGTGACTAATGAAAAAATTACTTCCAGATTACGATCAATGAACCATATGACGGTTACTGTTTCCACGATAATTTTCACTGCTCACAAAATTGTATCTTAAAATTTAATTGCAGAGAAATCAAATTTGAAAATTAGTTTTTCCTGATAAATAAATTAATAGTATCATATTGTTCGTAATGTTGTAAATCGCATCGTAATAATCAAAATGTTTTATTCTATACTTTTTATCGCAAAATTAATTTTAGATAGGATAACCGGACTCTATATGGCTTACAGCTGCAATTTGTTTTAATTTTTTGCTGAATCCAAAATAAAAAAACAATGATCAGATTCTCTCAAAAGAGGAAACATTTCTGAACATTAGGAAGATATATAAGACTTTTTCAAGCATTTACATAAAGATTTAAAGAAAAAATAGCATTTATATTATATTGAATACATATGTATCCAATACGATCTAAGCATATGTTTCCCTCTTTTTCAAAAAAAATGTTAGAAAAATGAAAAATAAAGTGATCCAATGTTATTTTTATAAGATGATATGTTTATTAATACATTGACATGTTTATTGACTTGTATATACAAAGAATACACAAAGAACTATTTTCAAAACAACTGATATATTGTGATTTATTAAGCATATTACACGGAGAGAATTTTTTCTTAGAGTTTACTCTGAAAATATGATAGTCCTGGAATAACATTGTATTTCAAAGAATTGTATGTAAATTTCTCTCATTCATTAATAAAACTAAATACAATGAAATATATAATAAGTTTGATTAATTTTATTGAAGTACATGGTAAAAATCTTTAAAATTTCGTATTGTACCACAACTACCATATTTTTAGGAACAAATTAAATAACTTAAATTTTAAGAAACAATTCTGTCCGTGTAGGCATACTAGGCCATATAGGATCCGGTTGCCTTGTATCGGCTTTGTTATCATGCCTAAATGGCAGCTTTGATCGTTCTATAATGATCTCAGTAGCAGCAGCTGTTCATTATTAATTACTGCGAACAGTCGCGTGCCCTGTGCTGAAATATTCCAATCTGTGCAAAAGTGGTTCATGGCCGGTTCACGACGGTATCATTATGAGCTTTTACGCGCTCGTAAAGACAGAAATGGAGTGACGAAGGAGAAAACGGCCAGAATAGGGATAGTAGGGGTAACAAGAAAGCATGGATATTGCAAATTTGCGAGCCGCATTACCGGAGAGAAGGCAGTTATAGCCGGGAGACAGCAAACGAGTTGAGATACGAGGCGATACTAACCAGTGCGACGTCTACCTGGAGGACGTAAAGCTTAACGTTATTAATAAAGGCCAGTAGTACCAAGTCGTTAGTCTCTTCATGATTAGAAGATACGCATATTAGATACATGTAGTTATCTAAAATGAATACAATAACGTATTCTGAAGAAAAATACTGTTATACAAAAAATTGGATGTTGCATGTATCAATTCTCGTCGTACTTTATGTAACAAATATTACGTTTTTATTCTACAGTTATTTATTGATAAAAAAAATATGAAAGAAAGGTCAAGAAAATAATGCACAGTTTAAAATGCAAAAATGTGTCATGCTAATAAGAAAAATTAGAGGCGTTATCATCAAATGTTGTTTAGAAACTTTATCAGCAGGTGTTTTTCAAGTATTAATATCGAAACTTTAGTTACTTATATACTTCAATAGGTACAAACTAATAGTGAAACTTTAGTTACTTATATACTTCAATAGGTACAAACAAAAAACAATTTGAAGACGAGTAACATACATGTATAAGCAGTGATAAAGACGTTTTACGATCGCAGCGCGAGCTTGGAAAACAATTTTTCAACGAAAAACTGACGAAAAAAAAGAGAAAGAAAGAGGAGGGGGAGAAAAAGAGAGGCTGACACCCCGCCGCGCGGTGCTTTAACGAGAAAAATACCTGCAGTCGTCGAGCAATTTTATTTACAATGGTTAAACGAAATCTTGAAGAATGTAAACGGTGAACTCGTAAATCGCACCGCGGAATCTATTGTGCTTTGACTTAGAAAAATAAACCCCGTTACATCACCGTCGTGTATTTCAACACACAGACACGCGACTGTATAACTCGGATGGAAAGCAAGGTAACGCTGTTTTGCATTCTCCATCACGCTTCGCGTATACAAGGCATGATGAAAACGCATATTTTTCAAATACAATGCGTTAAAAATTACCAATTAGTCAGTCCTTCACGGCATTCTTTGAAAAATGTTAATATTGAATATCAGCAGGAAGTTGTACCTGGAAAACAAGCGAACAAATACAATCACCGCAAAAGACATCGCGTGAAAGCCTTGGGTGAGACGGTAAGTGAATGTAAATACCAGCACGGCTTAAGCCAAGGGATGTCCCAGGAAACGGAAATATTTGCGGATGGTTCGGTGCCACGAAAGTTCGGTATTCATTTAAATGGCGATACCCACAAGTTCTCGACTCCGTAATCAGCTTACCGATTTTCCTACGCGCTCTCGAACAAATACCATCGATATTTGTTCGAGATATTTATCATGAAATTGCTATACTGTTAATAATATTCTCAGAATTAATATTAATTAATATAAACAACTGTAGTAAGGATTATGATTAAGGAACGATAATCTTTATCTAATTTTAGAGAGAAATTTTCGCAATAAATTTTATATAAAACTGCTTTGTATAAAAGAATAATATTAGCTTGATGCGTAACGATAAAATATGAAATACAAAAACTTTGGCTCCTTACAAAGAAAATACATTTTTCTCATATAATTGTAGCAGATAATATAATATATATATACGTAGTGCTAATTCATTTATAGGAATAATAATGAAGAATCGAACGAAGATTACTTAATAACGTTTTATTATAATATAGCTCCACAAAAAGACAAAGTTTTTATTATTTTACTGTAGAAATTTATAGCACTTTTATATATTTTTTTAACTGATTGTAAAAAAAAACACAAGGGTACTTTATAACTTTGTAAACGTATAAGTGGTTGAAATTGCTTTTCGATTGTCATATAAGCTCATTGAGCCGATTATATGAGGTAAGTCGTGAAATTTATTGGTTATCGTTTCTTGAAACCGATAGTTATCGATTCGACGTAAGAAAGTATTTTTGTGTGATCATCTGTACTTCTGTGTTAATTCTATATAGAAAGATCGTGTAAAATAATAGAATCGGATGATGGTGTTAACTACAACAAGAGAAACTCTGACAAGAATGTAAGCCAGACTCGCAATGTTATTTATCGACAATATTCGGTTAATAGAACGATTCGCAATTACGCGAAGGAGAATTTTATCAACGTAAGTGCGGATTTATTATATCTGTTGTAAATGTGTGCTTCCGAACTTACGTATCTCACTCCTCGAATGATGAGTAATTACGTTACTATGGAAGAAAAGTACAATGCTCTCTGAAGGAGGCGATCCTTCCCGGGCAAGCAGGTGTGTATAGTCGTTACTCTTTAGAATCATTTGTTCAACCGTTACGTTAAGGGTCAGGGCTAGAAATGATAAACGACCCGCTCTCTTACCCACCTTCTCGCCAGCGGGTTCCGTCCCGTGTATTTCTCCTCCGAGATCACCTCCGAGGGGAATATAACAGGCGCATCGAAGAAAGAAAGAGGAAAGGAGATAGAAAAATACGACCGCCCCGGTTCCTTCGTTCACCTTCATCTTAATGTAAGCGAAATTTAAAGAGCCAGCTCTCTCTCTCTCTCTCTCTCTCTCTCGCTAGTGAAGCTTAAAGAGGAAATTCGTGACCTCGATTATGATGACGATCAAGACGACGACGACGACGACGATGACGGCGCATCGCGACGGAAAAAATTGTGAAGGGACGCGCGTGAAGACGCGCCGCCGCCCTCGGGACGATTTAAATCAATTCGCCGCGTACCATGGTAGATAAATTTCCGGTCTGACGTTTAAGCGATCGCGAAAGTTTTTCGTAGCAAGCCGTACGTGCGATATGGCCTGGTATAAAAGTTTGCTCTTCAAACGATCCGGTCGGCAAACTTCTTTTCACGCTAGTACTTGGGGTATCCCGGTGCATGATTAAATCGGGTATACCGCATCGTGAATGATGTATGCGAATCGCTTGCGTTCTGTGCTACGACGTACGTGCGTTCGATTATCGGCGAGTAATTACTTATGCAAACTCAAGAAGCGAACTCTTCGACACGTTAGCGCGTATCTCTCCGAATTTATCTCTCTGCGGCGCGGCGCGGCGCGGCGCGGCGCGACGAATGGTAACAGCGATAAAGGAAAACGAAAAAGTTGAAGAATGTCGTTATCAAATTTAAGTCCGCGCGGATAATTTTGCAGTAATGGAAAGCCCTATCTCTAGAAGAAGAGGGCAGAGCTTAGCTCAACATCGGTATCAACCAATCCCAGGTGTTCAATTGGCGCTCTGCCAGAATTTAAGCTTGGCTTAAATTTCGTGCAGTTGCTACGTAACTAGGGCAGATTCAGATTAGAATTAACTAATTGTTGCGTACACCGTCGTAATTAGGCAGGATTCCCGCATGCTCCCCGCATACTAATATTTGATAGAAACCTAACCGCGGGATATCGTATACGGGAGGAAGTTGAACCTATTCTATGGCACGCAATCGTGACGTCTGATAATCTATCGGTAATATTCAGAAATGAATAGGAATTTTTCACTTTTTACACACGTTTAATCGGCTATTCAATGTAAAATTATTAATATAACTTACCGATTACATTTAAATGGACTAGATGACTCATGTGGGGTGTCGTGGAAACCTGGCACTCGTAAATACCGCTGTCCCGATGCTGTGGATACTTTATTTGAAGCGTCCAGTCGTCTGAATGAGCGTTGTGAATCGCTCGAAATCGCTGGTCGTTCGTGTACGTGTAACGGCCAATTGTGAGCAAATGGACGTCTCTGTGTCGTACCCACGATACTTGTAACGTCATCTGCAAAGGAAAATGAGATGGGAGTTGAGAGACAAGATCGACTCGCGAGAATCACGAATAATTTCACCTGGAATCCTTTGTGTACTTGGTTAGGATTACTTATTGTACTGGGAATATAATTGGTAGTTTGTTTGACGTACCAGTAATTAACCAAATATCAAGGATTTCAATCACGTTCCTAACTTACGAATTTTGAACGTGTTGCTAGTGCGACTTATTAAGAAAGCAAATTTTCTTGCATATAATCAAGATATGAATAAATGAAAATTTCTCTTAATCTATACATCTGGAACAGCCTACAGCAAAATAAAAAGTAAAATGTTAATCCCAGCGTACGTTACCATATGAGAAAATAATAAGTTTTTGTAAAGAAACAAAGCTTTTATATATCAGGGATTAATAAAAGCACTGGGAGAATCGCGAAACGTGAACCAAATAATTCAGTTTTTGTCTTTGCGCATTGGACAAGTTGAAAAAATGGGGATCATTCACTTTGAAAGCATAATTTATCGCTGCGCATACCAACTGCTGTCTTTTGACAGATGTAACGCACGTGCATGAGACAGCGACTCGTAAGCTGATATCGCTGTCGCGGTTTCCAATGGCACATGTAATAGAATAAATTACAAAGCGTACGCGAGATATAAATTCAGACTAGCGAGTGGGATATACGACGCCACATCAGATACAACTTTCGAGCGTGCGCTCCGAGCGAGCGTTCCTTCCTTCTCGTACGAAGGAATTAATAGAGTCGCTTTGCATATCGTTGCAAAGTTAGCGTGCGAGATAAAACGCCTCGAGCTGAGATAATTGGACACCCGAACCCAGCGACGTGTAAATATTTGCATCCTTCGAGTAAGGTCGATACGCATTACTCGAAAAGCACATGAACATGTGCACGTAGTATAACGGTTCAGATGCGTTTCAAACATGGTACTGTAGACGATGTCCTAAATGTGGCTATTCGGGCTATCGTATGCAGAAACGCTCGTTCTCGTTCAATATTGCCGGACAAATTGAATGTCGCGACATCGAAAGCTAAGTTTATATCGAAGGTTGAAATTAATTAAGCTTTAATTAAGGTTTAATGATGCGAACAAGTAAACACGGGACACATTACGCAATACATGGAAAATTGAATTAATCGAGTTAAAATTAACCGAGTTTCCCACTAGTCGTTCTAATAGCAGCAAAGGGGGTTTAAAGTTTGGAACATTAAATATTACAAACATGAAATCGCCATAACGTAATGCTTAATAGAATTCATTCTCTACATTGTTTCGTATACCCTTAAATTTTAATGTTTGCTTCAATTTCTGTCTGAAGTCTTTCATTAAGTGCGCCATTGCCTGAATTCCGAGGGACCGATATATCTATCTACTATTCTACTACAACTATTCTCTCTCTCTCTCTCTCTCTCTCTCTCTCTCTCTCTCTCTCTCCGTTTTCTCTGAGATTCGCTTCCCTGGATCCTTATCCAACTCACTTCGTAGTTCCGTAAGGACTTCGCTCAGTGGGTCCTGCCGGACGAGTACGAGTTGTTGCGGAAGTTTCGGCGACCTAAAGATGTCCCTTGTTCGAGAACTTGCAGTGATATCCGAGCAGATACGGAGGAGGTAGTCCATAGATAAGGGTGTGTTCTCAGTGGAAAGGAAGGAGAAGAGATAGACAGACAGAGATGGAAGATGGAATGGGGGAGGGGAGGGGGACGCGGAAGCAAAGCCTCGTGAGTAGATACATTCGAGTTTGGTCAGGCGAGACTCGCTATCTCGTTTCTGCCGTGCATAGTTTTATTGCGCTTGTCGCACGTATGCGTATCGCGCACACCCGTTATGTCTTCTGTTAATTTATGATACGCGACCGACATGAAATGCCATAGTTGCCGAGCTCGAAGGCTTCCGACCATGCCGGATCCAGGACGATGGGTCAAACACTGTCGACTCTGCATCCTGCGTTCCTGGTTCTCGCACCAGCTCCTGACGCCGAACCGCATAGTTGGCCTTTGCATACCGATTCCGCTGTCGCCGCGCAAATGCGATTTATGTGAATTCCCTTTCTCGTAGCCCGCCGAATGCAGATAGATGGACAGATTTATTCTGTCTCTTCGATAAATTCGCTAAAGATGATGGAAGATATTGAGCGAAATAATAGATAATTTAATATAGCTGTAAATGGAAGAATTTAAAAATTACGGCAATTAATAACAATATTAAGGTATTCAAGGAATATATTACTGAGATTTTAATGCAATAACAGAGATAAAAGGTAAACATCAACATCCATTCCTCTCAGATGAAGTTCCCGAGTTGTCCTATAATAATATATGTAATTTAAGGACAAAATTCTAACAATTATTAATTTTAATAGACTTTAAATGTACAAGACATCACGGTACTTGGAAAAAAGTATCGCGCCGTTAATTTATCGCAATTTCTCGTTAATTTTAGCAGAATTCTATGCTATATAATATTTTTTAAACAAAGTTCCGATTGCTATTTTTCAATTTTGGTTTTTTAGTATAATAAATGTGAAATTCTTTTTTATTTTGATAAGAAACTGTAAAACTATGAAAAGTGCTACTGGAACTGCTATTATTTTTTTTTTATATTAATAGAATGTCGTGCTATCTTTACAGACACAAATTTGGGTAGTAAAATTAGAACGTCGTTCTGTTAATAACATAAATAATGATAGTTATAATAGTTCTATGGTCCTTATCAAAATAAAAAAAGTTCCGCATATTTTATAAACCAAAAACCCAAAACTGAAAATATGGCGTGTTAATTTCACAAAACTAGTATGACACTTCGCTTCTAAAGTACAAGAAAAAGAAAAATATTTTCACTTTTAGTTACAGTTATAGTAGTCATCAACTTGTATGTGAAAGACGGTATTTGTTGGGGATTGTAAATAAAACAGTATTATCCCTACCGGAATAGTGAAGCCTCGTTTGATGAGGAATCGATCAATCTCCCGTTTCTTCATGATGTTATATTGCTTGACGTGCGAGTTATTGGAATCGATGTCGGGCGAGATTACCGCGTTAGCGTTTGCCAGCGAATCAAATATAGCATATACGAATTTCCAGTGATGGAGAATTTTCGATAAGCTTTGCGCCCCGTGGCGGAACTGATAAAATTACCGGCCAATTATCTCGCGTAAACAAATTCTGCGTAAGAAGATTCTGACCTAATTTTGTGCCGGATAAGATGAGATCGTGATACGAAAAGGTGGAAAGTAAATTACTCTCTCATCCACACACACACTCACACTCTCTCTCTCTCTCTCTCTCTCTCTCTCTATGTGTCTATCTATCTACATATCTACCTATCTATTTATTTATCTCTATCTCATCATGAAATACATTCGAGAAATCAGGACGTCCGACTATAGCAATAGTATATTCTACTAAGAAATACAAATCGTTACACAAAGCATATGTAAGGTCGCCATAACGTAACTTCGATCGATAATTAATACCGGATTGATTCCGTTTATAATTATGCAGTCGTTCCTATGTTAATTGTATCCGTCAAAGAGCGATTTATATGATATATTTTTTAAGTATTTAAAACTGAATTTAAAAATGTGAATAGAGATGATGAATAAATATACCGACGCGAAATTGACAATCCAAATTATAAGCAAATTATATGCAGGAAATTCTGTTTTATTTATTATTTCAAAATTAAAATAGTTTCATGATCCAAACAAACATGACTTCTCTTAAATATGATATTTTTGAATTCATAATATGTTTGTTCATCAAATTTACACTGTGCTGAGAAATCGCGGAATTTAAACGAGATTATAAAGTATATTATAGACTAAAATATATATTGGTTTGTTATAAGGTAATTAATTGAAAAATAATACACCGATACGACACATTTAAAATTATTTTGCCGGATGGGGCCATAGATTATCGATTACTACTTTCATAAGCAACCATTTTATTACCTGGCGAATATAATTGCCATGCCACAAGCACTCGTTTGATTTCAAGATGAAAATACAATCATTAAAAACTAGGAAGTTTAAACTGATAATGTGAAAGACGTACTTTGGACGTAACATTACCAGTTCGATTATTATCCCAATCGATAGTCTTACGAACATTAAGCCGATTTAAAAAAAGTATAGAAATTAGGTGGAAATCAATATAACGAGGTAGTACAAACTTTTCGATTATGTTGAGCTTTTCATTTTTTATATGCATTTTAAATGCATTAAAACACTATATTGATTCTCATATTTCTTTCAATAATTGTATTTTGGAATTTAAAGAATGCTTCCCGTTTATGTCTGATTTTTTGTTGAAGTTAAATAATTAATTAATGATTACTTAACAGGCTAATAAAAAAAAATTATGTCTACTAAATGTGTAGTTATAGTTTTTAAAATTATTTAATACTATTTATGTATGTTGTTACTTAAGCATTAGATAACGTTATTCATGTGCCGATGATGCAACATGCATCTGTGACCTATATTTAGAAAATTTATATCTTGAGACACAATCATCTTATGGGTCAACGAATAGTGGGAATGTCTATTTGTCCCATGGGATTGGTGCTTGTATCCGCGCAATTTTATCTCGACAATCTCCATTTACTACGATCGAATTGTCCATGAGGCCGTTTTTATCTTTCGACGACTTCACGCTCTTTCTTTCATAGGATATTTTTACTGTACCTCAGCTAGAAAGGTCCGGAAAATCTTATTGTTCTATCACGTTACGCGCACAATGTGGTTGCAAAAACCCACTTATATTCATCTTTTATCATACGGTCTTTGTCAATTTTAATTTTGTCTCTTGTATTTTATCTTATTATATTGAAAACATTACGCTTTATTTCCGATTTATATTCTCTAACTTAAACAAAAACACATCTAAAATAAATTTCAATGAGCGAGAAATTGCACGAATCAAAATATCAAATGTATAATTGGAGAAATATGAATGTACACACGCGCGCGCGCGACTTATATAAGATTAT